ATTCATAATTTGTGCTGATATCGGATTTATATCGGTATCGGTTTGTACTGATGGTTGCAATATCGACATTGTATCGGAAGTTAAAATGTTGTTTTTATTACATCCCTAGCTATAATGATTCAAATATTCATTAATTTTTTTGTCAGCTTAGCCCCTTTATTAATGCGGGGTCATCACAGCGGAATGAACAGCCAACTTATCCAGCAAGTTTTTTTGCAGTGGATGCCCTTCCAGCCCCAACCCATCTCTGGGAAACATCCACACACATATTCACACACACACACACACACACACACACACACACACACACATACACTACGGACAATTTAGCCTACCCAATTCACCTGTACCGCATGTCTTTGGAATGTGGGGGAAACCGGAGCACCCGTAGTAAACCCACACGAAAGCAGGGAGAACATGCAAACTCCACACAGAAACGTCAACTGAGCCAAGGCTTGAACCAGCGACCTTCTTGCTGTGAGGGGACAGCACTACCTACTGCGCCACTGCTTCGCCCTCATTCAAATATTAGTAGCCCAAATTTAAGTGAGGGAAAAATATTAATTCAAATTTTCAAAAGTAGCAAAAATCAAGAGAAACAAAAATATATATAACTGTTGAAATAATATAGCTTGTATTTTTTTTGGAAATTTTTGCATAAATTTAAATGTATTATCTTTCCATTCCTACAGATGTTCTGTGACTAAAATAGCTAAAATAAATATATCTGTTTAACAAATCTGTTTTGTTCAAATGCACCAATATATATTACCCATATTCACTAAGAAATGGATAAAAATTTTCATTTTCAAAATGGGGTGTACTCCTATATGCTGAGCACTGTACATAAAATAATTATTTATTAATTAAACAAAGTAGATTAAACAGATTAAACAAAGATTAAACAAAGTAGTACGTTAATAACCCGTTTTGTTTGAACTTCATGAACAGAGTAAACTTTAACAGCACTAAAGTCCTACTGCTCTTAAATCTTTAGCAATTTATAAGCCATCGTTATTATCATGTTATTTTAATTTTCCATGCAGAGAAAAGCAAAACACTGCAATGTCAAGATCAATTTAACAGAGCCCTATTCAAAGACAAACACAAAAACACACATTTCTCACCGGATTAGACTGGCCAGTGAGGTATGGTTCAAAGTCATTGTCGTGGACCGTTTCCTTCTGATGAAGAGAGCCATTTTGCACTGAAATAAAGAATGAACATTTTAAATCAGATGTACCTCTAATGACTAGATCTGATATTAAACCCAAAGCCCAAACTACATCCAAAAGCCTTTAAGCTATATCTTGAAAGAATGAAACAATGCTATGCTAGTGACATTTTAGATCTTCAACAAATTTTGTACAATTACATAACACTCATTTAAAAAAAGGTTCTGCCTGATCACAGTACTATAGACTAGGGCTGCCCAAACTTTTTCATATAAAGGGCCAAAAATGAAACTTGATTGAGCGTTGGAGGCCGAAGTTAAATATGTCAAACCATTTTACATTCAATTTGCTCATTTATTTGTTTATTATTTAAAAACAACTAGAAAAAGTTGATTTCAAAACATTATAGTAAAAAACAACCCCATTTATAACACACTGGAGCTCAATACTGAATACACTAGTAGAGCTGCTCCTGCCTTTGCCTTGATTTGCTCATCGATGTCTTGTGCATTGTCCTAAATCTGTCAAGTGACAGTATTTAAATTTTAAAAGTCTGGTTCATATGAAACATTTAATCTTAGTTTTTTTTGTTTTTTGTTTTAGCTTCTCAATTAAACAAAGAAACAAAAGGGTATACATTAAGTTCGAAATGGCGATCTCTGTCAAAGACATACACCCCAACCAACTCCCCATCATTCTCCCTCTCTTTTCAGATGAGATGGTAGACCAAACCAAAGGTTACCATGGGGCAACTTTAGCCTGCGGGCCCCACATTGGGCATCTCTGCCATAAATGAAAAAAAAAAAAAAATAAAATAAATAAAAATCACCCAAGCCCAAAGAGCATGAATTCACAAATACAGTAGTTAATGCAAAATATCTATGAAACATAAACTATTTAATGTTTAATCTATGAATGCCAAATAGACGTCTCAGTGCACAGTAAACCCAACAGGAGCAGTTCTGCAGTCCAAAAGATTTAATAAACTCTAAATGATACGTGATGATATTCAAGCAACAAAACAACCAGACCTTGACTTGACGAAAGTCTGCAACAAACTTACTTAGAAGGCCACAGCACACCATTAATCGTAGTGCAATTAAACGAATGAAAAACTAAACCCAAGACCTTTAACATGTAAAAACACAACTATTAAAGAGCCAGCTTACCTTTAGCGTCTTGCCCTTTTGATGTCTTCCCAGTCAGTAGGTGATCCGAAATGGATAGAAACAGAAACATAAAGAATTAACATCGCTGAATTGTTGTTTTAAACACAAGCACTTCGTGTTTATCATGTAAATACTCCAGGTTTCATGCCCTTCTTAATCCACATCGACTCCATCAGAGCATCACCAATAAATCAATTCGCTATCAGAGGACGCTGGCTATTCCCCAATAACGCGAAATAGGGGAATTATGTTGACACTCAAGTAGTCAAATAAAACAAAATTACACGACCACCAGGACGGATACAGATTTCTTCAACCACGCAGATCAGCCCAAGTCCAGAGAAAACTGGTTGTAACTCTCGGAAGCTGATGAGGGAGATTGTGGACTAAATTAAGTTTTATCCTGAAGGTACACCGGAGCGCAGTTTGTGATGTGTCAAACGGAAATATCTGTTTTGGCTGAGGAAATGCGGTGTGCTGTTAATTTAAACGAGTGTGGTGAATGCTAACTCGTTAGCCATCGCGCTTAAGAGGAGCAAGGAGAGGCAGATGCCCGTAATGTCTCCGCAGAAGCGGCGGAGGCTGCACGCGCATTCCCTGCTCCTCCTAAAGGCCTTCGCGACGCCGTGCCACTCCAACCTACCTGTGGGTCAATACTGGTGGTAGACATAATTCATCAAGAGGCCCTCTTTAGATTCGGCAAGAGTCTTGCAAAGAAAAAAGAAGCAGCAGCGAGGGTGCTCGGCGTAACCCGAAGCCCGTGGGTTCCTTTCGGCTCCGTGCAGGCTCAACTGCGCTTTTTTCAGCAAGTTCCACGACTTGATTCCGGCGATCAGGTCCTCTCGAGCGCGTTAAAAGTCCAGCCTGAGGACGTTTCCGAGAGAATCTGAGGCTCAGCGGTTTCGGGAGTTAAATCCAATGCTGTCACACGCCGTGTGTAAATTTATTTCAAAGTGTATATATTATTTTTCCTCCTCCCAGCCCGCAGTTATTGTGCACCTCTGTTCACTTCCGCCCAATGGCCGCTCCATCCGGGATCTGCGCGGAGGGACTGACGCCACATGGACCGGGTGGCCATGCGGAGGTGATCAACCTGAGAAAATCGGAGAAAAGTTATTGCTGCACAGAACGCTTTGCTTTTTTATTATTTTTTTCTTCAGTACCTATATACAATAAAAACATATATATGTCACACGTAATATTACAAAGAATTCAGTACCTTTTGATTAATTTATTACTTCTTAATGATTACATGATTTATGTTTATGAAATAATTTATTAAATAATTGACTAATTAATAATATAAACTAATATTAAACATACTAATAAAAGTTTAATAATTATGCGGATGTTTTCATGTATTTCGTTTATGAAGAAACTAAAACTACTTCTTTTAATTAAACCTTTGCATCCCATTTATTCGTCATTCACACCTCCTCCTTATGTATAACATATTGTATATATACCAGGATACCTGTCATTTTAATGATTATAAGTTACTGAATGGGAAGTGGCTGCCATAATCCATCATGTAGTAGGTAATAAAATATTAAAGAGCATAATTTGTCAGTAAAGCGGGTTTTTCCTCTGCTTGTTTTTTTCATGCATTCAGACGTGAAACACTGATGAGGACTTCTCATACTAATGTCGATGACAGGCTTGACGACATATATGTGCATAGTCTTTTTTATGAAAAGGCATAGACCATATGCCTGGGAAATACATAAAAAACATTTACATTTTTCTTCTTTTCGTTTACATTTCCACAGTTAAAACAATATTAAAAAGCATCCAGTGAAGCTAATATTTATTAGATCTAGCCCTCAGTCAGAGAATGGTGAAATGGGGATCTTCGTGTTTAATAGGAAGCAGCTCTGCTTCTTCACACCTACTCACGATATCAGATTGTATTTGGTTTCTAATGGTTTAATATGTGAAACAGAATAACGATTCACAACTCGCACTATGTCGAACACAGCCGTTGCCACCAATGGTTGCCACCAACACTGAATCAAAAACACAACGTGTTTTTCATCTTAACCACTAGGTGTCAGTGAAACGTGAAGCGATTTAGGGAATTCCCTAGATTACATATCAAAACTCATTGGAGAAAGGCTGCATCCAGTAACTATTGGAGAATGAGGTATTTGCACTTTTAATTTCAGTCAGCCAGCCCCAGGGCTTCCGATGAACTGTCTTCCCATACAAAATCGCTGCATTTAGGATCTGTTTTCTTTAAATAAAACAGCGTTTTTCACTGCCTGGCTGAGATATGATAAAGTGGGCATCAGACCAAACAAGAAGCACTGCATTAATGTCTCTTTTCTCACGCCATGTCTTTATAGAAATTAATTTTACCCCAGTATTTTCAATGGAATTTCTGCACTAGCCTGCTGCTAATGATGACGCCTGCATTGGATAAGTGTTTTATCTCTTTTTACACTTTAACAACCAAATGGATGCCTAGTTTAATTAACTGTTTATATTCGAATTACATTACAACATCGATGCTGTAAAAGGAACCATATGAAATTGAAAATAATCATAAACCTTTCACTGGAAGTTCACTGAAAAACACAAGCTGTGCATATAGGCTAGCCCAATGAGCCAAACATGCTAATGGAACAAAATATCATTTTCATATACAGTGTATTCAATTTCAACAAACATTTATTAAGTACACAAATAAATTAAGAAAATATGACACGATTTACAACAGTCAACATTTAAAATACAGTCGTAATTTTATGATCACTTGCATTTACACAATGTTTTTCTTTGGCCACAGACCATGCAGATACTGTAATTGCTCTCCCATACACACTCACACAAATATGGCTTATGTTATGCGATAATATAAGAAGACAGATGCTGATCATTAAAGATTTAACAGCATTGAGCTCTGTACTGGCAAGAGTACAGGTAAAGCAATTCACCCATCTCCATTTAATCTCCAACAAAAACTATTAAACTGAGCATAATATCTATAATATAACTTAAAAATGATATAAAAATATTCAAAATACACAACATTTGAAAAAAAATTATATGCCACAGACTTAAACAGAAAACACAATTAAAAAAATGAAAGAATCACAGAGGTAGGTAGTGAGAAGTTCAGCATGTTCAGTCATAAAACACGCTTTACTGAGAAAATAAAGGATCTTTATTGGCATTGATGGTTCCATGAAGAGTCTTTGACTCATCTTTCATTCCACTTACACACACAGAGACACACCTGAATTTCCAGGTTTGTAAGAGCGGTGTTTGGCTGCATCACTCTTATTTCTTAATTTATTCATAATGTTTTATTTATGCAAATATATACATAACTTGGTATCCATCTGATTTCTGTTTTATTCCCTTCTTGTAGTAGCTTTAATTTTTCCTGCTCTCTTTCCTCACTCAGTGTTCACTCTTGGGATGCTGGTGACATCTGGACACTGTCACTTATACAAATCTGAAAAGTAACACAGTGCACAAAAATAAACAAAAATGATTCACTCCATTCGACAAATGAGGAAGTGAGAAAAGCAGTGAATAAAAATCATTGTACAAACATGTGTCTTCCTCTTCATTGAAGATGTTGACGACATAGCAGGCAAACACAAATCCCAGAACCTACATATAAAAAAACACAAAGTCAAAGTCATGTTTATGTTGAGCATGTCTGACTTTTGTATATGGATGAATATCAGATATAAGTTCATAAGTTCATATTAAAACTAAGTTAATAACTAACATATTAAGACATTTATAATTTTTCATATAGGGGAGAGTTGCAACACTTTTTGCATTTCCTTTAGGTTCTCAGAAAGTTTTTTGTGGAAACCCAAAATTTTAATATAATAAACCCACACTGCTATAATATGTGTACATATGACAATATATGCAAAATTTGAACTTGAACCTTAAGCAGAGAGACAGTTGCAACATTCATTAAAATGTAATAATAAAAAAATTCCAAAAAATTGGATTTTATTTTTTTTTGGTAAAGACTAAATATAAATTGGTTAATTGTTAAATGTGTTAAATTGGCCATACGCAATTAAAGAAAATGAAAGAATCACAGAGGTAGGTAGTGAAATTTACCTATGAAATATAAATTGTCAGGTCTTAAAAACTGAACAAAAACATTTTTTACAGAAAATCTACACTACACCTTTACTAAACTACTTCTTTGAACTTTGAAACAAATTAATAAATCAAAGAATCTTTTTTTTAATGAAATTACATTAAAACTGTGATAAAAATAAAATTATACATTGTTAATATGGCAAGCTTTTAAATGAATTTTGCAATTGGGGCCAGTTGCAACATGCTGTCAACCCTGATTAAACTGACGATGCTAGGGAGATACAATAGCTTTAACGCTAATAGCTATATCTATTTAAAGCTAATAAAACAGTGATTTAAATTATACAAATGAACTGCTCCATACTGCAACTGTCTCCACTCTACAATACTTATTTCTTAAGTTATTTTCTAAATATATGTGTAGGTTAAAGAAACTATTAAATCTGACACGGCTTCATTTACTCAGCTGCTTTGAGTAAAACATGTATGAAAACATTATTAAGTTTAAACAATGATCTTAGGAGTTTTAGGGGCTTACAGAGATGAAGATCTGCACTGCGCTGTGCATAACCTCAATATACTGATACTCTAACATGCAGCTCATGTCAGTGACCAGCGCAGGACTGTCCAGATGCTGCCATCTAGTGGTCTGGAGGTTTTTGTTCTCACAGCCTGGACCGTTGTCCTTCCACCATGAATGGTAAGAGGAAAGTCCCAATGACAGATAGTTGCTTTCCTATAACAGCACAGCACAGAAATTACTTGAAGAGATGAATGAACATTCTGTCATAATTATTTCTTTGTTCTGCTGAACACAAAGGAAGCTTTTTGAAATAACGTCTTTAACCAAACAGATTTTACCACCCCTCATTCACTAAACACTATATGAGTAAATGGGTGGGGGATTTGCTTGGATACTAACATTCTTACAAATATCTTTCTTTGTGTTCAGCAGAACAAAGAAATTTAGACAGAATCTAATGATGAGGACAATGACATTTAGCCAGAAAATGATGGCAGAATTTTTATATTTGGGTGAACTATCTCCCATCACAATTTTGAATTTCAGTTTCATGGATTATTGACTGTTGTACTGAGAACACACATGTGTTTTAATCTTGTTTAATGCCATTTTGCATGCCTATACCACAGAGATGAGATCATTACATACCAATGGCATGAATGAATGTAAACTTGGTGTAACACTAGCTCTATGACTAGCCCCCTGAGACAGGGCTACATACCTTGGAAATCCCTCCAAGGTCTAAATACAGGCAACAGATGAAGACATTCCAAGTCACCCAAAACACAGTCCAGACTATATACTAAAAGAGAAGGAAAGAGCATATGATGATTATCATGAAATAATTAATAAATAAGGCTATATATATATATATATATATATATGAACAAAATAAAGAAAGAAAGAAGAAATGCCAGCATGTGTTTAGAGTTTTTCCTTATAGCAAACACAACAGTAATCTGATTACTGCTTTGGCTTTTTCAGTTTTAATTATTGTGATTCCTGATTGCACAAAGAAATAAAAGGATTTCAAACTGAAAAAAGATTGATGGCAATCTTTGTCATCACTTTAGACATGATGCTAGAGAATATACATATATATATATATATATATATATATATATATATATATATATATATATATATATATATATATATGTGTGTGTGTGTGTGTGTGTGTGTGTGTGTGTGTGTGTGTGTGTGTGTGTGTGTGTGAGTGTGTGTATATTTTTTTTTCTTTGACTTAATTAAAGGTGTTTTCTGTCACTGTTTAGCCTGCATTCAGTGTAAAGCTGCACAATTAAACATTAAAATATGATTTCAATTCAAACCCGCGTAACATGAGCGATAAATGATAATGATTTGTATATGTTTGTTAATCCTTCAAAGCTCTGCTTTCAAATCTCCATCAAGAGATATTCAATATTTACACCTTTTCAGATAGTTACAAACAATTAAACAACACCGAAGTACTGGGAGAACAGTTTATAGTTCAGATATAAATACTGATGTTTACTGTAAAGATTAAAATCACTGTTTAATGGAAATTTATGATTTTTATATTTAGCACTATTAGCAACAGTAGCAAATATCATATTGCTTTTTGAATACTTTACTTTTTTTCAGCTGGTTCTTTCTTGATTTTTATTTTTATTAAAATTACAGGTTCTAAACCAATGTTTTTTGCAGTAATATTTTTGTATAAATGGAAAGCAAATGGCATTTGTCTCCTCCTTTTTTGCTGATCTGAAAAATGGTCTGATCCGTGACTCAAAAACTGTAGTGTGATTCGAACCATGAGATTTGTGATCCGTTACACCTCTAATATATACACACCACTATATATACACACACACAATTCTAACATTTTTGGCTCTATACACCAACACAATAAATTTGAAATGAAACAAATTGCGTGTACATTTGGTCCCTTAACAAATGGGAGGCACATATGCAAACTGTTGTAATCCCTAAAGCGTTCGTTTAATTTCAAATCCATTGTGTTGGTGTATAGAGTCAAAAATGTTAGAATTGTGTCGATGTTCAAATATTTATGGACCTGATAAAGTCCATGAAGTACAATGGACTTTATCAGGTCCATATATAAAGATTGATTAGGAATTTGCTTTAACAGTATTATTAGAAATTAAAATACGTTTTTAATTTAAATATATTTAAAATGTTGCTATATAGTACTGCTATATAACACAAATATACATCATATTAGAATTCCACATTTATTTTTATAAAAAGTATTACTATTTTAAGATTAAAAGTCGTTTATGTTAATTTTTTATTGTAAATAAACCGTACACACCAATATAACGTAACGAGGCTGATACTGGACTGCTCCAAACAAGCCCAAAATCACTACGAGGATGTGCAGAAAGTTGACAAGGATGGGCGCCCACTGGTACCCCAGAAAGTCAAACACCTGTCTCTCCACTCCAGTGATCTACAGAAGGAAACACATGAAAAGCACAATTTTAAAACAATAACAACACTAGCAGCTACTTAGTATCTACACGACCAACAAAAATGTCCTCATGCTGTCCCAATGACAATGCTGCCGAAGACCCCATCTCTGTTTCCCAGAGGTGCACAGTCCAACCCCCTGCCTCTGTGGTTCCACATGCTGGTGTTTTACTCGGGGTTGCCATGGTAACAGAGCCAATGGGGTGCAAAGCTTGTGACGGAGAGACAGTGAGCGAGAGAAGGGGTGAGTGAGAGGAGATAAGGCTCTCGGTTGAGGTCAGAGGCTCAGTAAAAGGGACATGTAGGATTCAGATGGGAGGTGTGGGGGAAGCTGTTTCACTGCAGCAGTCATAAACCCGCTCTCTGACTGCCACCCATCCCCCCAAACAATATCTCTCTCTCACTGATTTTCCACTGCATGGCTTGGTATGGCTCACTTTTAGGGGGGTTCCACTGTATACGATGCCTGGTTCTTTTTTCAGTACCACCTCATCTAAAATTACATGCAAGCCGTAATGACACTAAAATGTAACATGTATATCCTGCAGACACTGATTGGACAGAGGGAATTGAGCTATTGAACTTGCCATGTGAAACCCCTTCGGTCAAAAATTGTATTCCCTTCTCTCTCATTGAGTACGTTTACATGGACACCAATAATCTGATTTTATTAGGTTTAAGACAATACTCTGATTAGGGTCTACTCACACAATGCTATTCGAACCGTGCCCAGGCCCGTTTCCCGGATCGCTTGAGAAGTGTAAGTGCTCTGAATCGGGCTCAAGCACGGTTCACTTGGCCGGTCCTGGCCCGGGAAGAGGTGTGCCTGAGTGCGGTTCACTTGGGCTTTGGCGCGATACGCTTGTGTGTGAGTGCAAAACGTGCCAAAGCCCGAAACTGAAAGCGAGATTTATTAATCATTCTTACTTCAGTGAACGCAAACTGTCGTAGTTTATTAAAAATGCAAACATCTCACTGCATGACAGCTATGCACCTTCAGCAAACCTCCTAATTCCGGCAGCACGAGGACTTTATGATTGTTTATGAGCGTTAAAAGTGGCTGATCTGTTTGGAGAAATTTTGACTGCATGTCAAACAACTTAAATGATATAAATGAAGAAATCTCCACTGTGCTGAGCGAGAGCACTTCTGACCAGCGCATCATCGATGACGTAAGCGTGCCCAGGCTCGAATGTAATGTGAGTGCAGGCTGTCAGGGGAGACAGGAGGGGGGACAAGCGTGCTTTGACCCGGTTCAAGGCAACTGTACATTGTGTGAGTACGCCATAAGAGTCTACCATGTAAACAGTGATTTTTTATTAATTTAATCCGATTAAAGTCATAATCGAACTAAACAGAAATTGAATTAAGACATGTGGAGTATGCCAATTGTAGTCGCATTGTTGAAGTGGAGTACAGACATGTAAACACCTTAATTAAACTGTCATGTACGATATTCGCCACATTTTGCGACAGGATAGTATATACACATGGCTGTTTAACACTATTCTCTGCAACTACCGAGTCAGTAAAGGACTACAGACACCTGCATTGCCAAATGCGAAGGGGTTTTCCACATACAAATTCTATTAAAACAACACTCTTCCAGCAGTTTCTTGTATACAAATCTCATTTGTCACTGCACGCATGAAATGCTCCTGAATGAGAGTGCCGAACTGCAGTTAAAAGTCGACAAATAAAAAATGAAACACCCAAAATTACACAAAACTCCAGAGAAAATGTGTATAGCGTGGTAATGAAATGACGTTAATCGAATTATGTGCTTGAAAGGAATGACAGGAACATTCAAAAAGCAACTCATGTAAACACCTTAATCATATTATTGTCTTATACAGATTCAGGCAAATAATTTAATTACTTATGCCCATGTAAATGTAGTCAGTGACCTTGATGTATGTCATTGATTATATTATAGAAGTACTACTGGAACATTGGAAATGCATTTAAATGGAATGCCCTAAGAGCTTCTTATAATGAACGTATTGTGGTCAGCAGAGAGAGGTTACTCTCATTGGTAGCCGAGAACAGAAATTAAGGAAATTTTCACTATTTCATCGTTTTTTAAAAAATTTTTATTCAAATTATTATTAATAATAATCAAGACTGCTTTTATTATGATAGGACAGTAAATAGTGACAGGAAAGTTGGTAATAGAGAGAGGGAGGGGGGAATGGCCAGCATGTCAAAACTATTTGCTCAGTTATTGTACAATTGTTTGTGTTGCATTTCCAACGACGTAACGGCAGTAGATGTGGCACAGCTGTCATGACATGTCTATAATCCCACCCACTTTGAAGTGGTGCTAATCTGTAGTGGAAAAGCATTATCTGAGTGTCATACTGCAGATGTTCCCTGAGGTTCCACCTAAAATCATCCAGACATAGTGTCTTTACTATAGTATTCGTCTAGTTCCAGCATGATGTGCATCATTGAACCACAATTGACCAACAATTCATGTTGTCTAGAAACAAATTGACTAGGTTAACTTAATTGTTTTACAGTCATTTTAAGTGGACTGAACACTTAGGGGTGTCCAAACTCGATCCTGGAGGTCCGGTGTCCTTTAGTTCCAACTTTGTTCAACACACTTGCCTGGAAGTTTAAGTTTAACTAGAAAGAGCTTGATTAGCTGGTTCAGGTTTGTTTAATTGGGGTTGGAACTAAAATATGCAGGACACCGGCCCTCCAGGACCGAGTTTGGGCACCCCTGGGGTAAAATTAGATTTAAAAAAATCAATAAGAATTTAGTTGCTTAAACTCATTTTAAATAAGTAGTTTGAACAAGCAGCAAAATACATATTTTTGAGTGAACAGTGAGATGATTCACAGATAGTTCCATGAAGAACCTTTGTTCATTCATTCTTTTTCTTGTCGGCTTAGTCCCTTAATTAATCTGGGGTCGCCACAGCGGTATGAACCGCCAACTTATCCAGCAATTTTTTACGCAGCGGATGCCCTTTCAGCCGTAACCCATCTCTGGGAAACATCCACACACACATTTATACGGACAATTTAGCCTACCCAATTCACCTGTACCGCATGTCTTTGGACTGTGGGGGAAACCGGACAGCACTACCTACTGCGCCACTGCTTCGCCTGAAGAACCTTTAACATCAATAAAACCTTTTCATTCCACAAAAGGTCCTTTATAGCAGAACAGCATGCATGCTTTAGATGATAAAAATGTTCACGTTATGAAAAAAAGGTTTTTTGAAGAGCATTCCACAATAAGATTAATTGAGGAACCACAAAATGCATCACTTTGCAAGTCTCTTTGGTTCTACCTGGAACCTTTATTGGTAAACGTGATCTATAAACGTGAACAGTGGCTGATTTGTTTAAGGATGAATGTAACCACAGAAAATGTAGCAGAACCTGTTGATGAATAAATAACAAATATTCAGTATAGACTTAAATGCTACACCTGCTGAACTAGCAGTTGAACTAATTAAAGCTCTATTTTGTTTGCAAAAATGAGATCAAATAAATGTAAAGACTAATAATTCCAATCTGTTCTGCACAGTCTCATCCAATCTCCATCATTTATTAATGAGGTAAGCGCATTTGAAAAAGGTCAGCATGGCGCTAAGTCAATGTTAGAATCTAAATGTGATTACTGAATGTGATTAAAATTATTTTCAAAGCAAAACAACAATGACCATCATATACTTTTACCATGATTTGCAGAAGACATTGTAATTCAGTGTAATAATGTAGTTTATATACAAAAATATTAGTCAAAACATTCATTTGATGACACATTAACAACATCTATTTATAGATCATAATGCAGCCTAAAAATGTGAATTAATTGTTATTTTAATTCTATATACTGTCATTATCCTTCAGACCACTAGACTTCAGGACGTTCTCCATCAAAATGTTTTATAATTAACATTTGAGTTAGTACAATATATTTTTGTTTAATTTATTTTAATATATCTACAGATAAGAATAAGCATGTGTTTTTATTTTTACATATAAATATATCCGCTACTCTGAATGACAATTGTACATTATTTTACCCTTTTTTGGATGTTTTATTAAAATAACGTTTAAACTTTACTCGCTTTTAATAACTTTACTTTGTTTTGCTCGCTTTTAATATGCTTTTTGTGCATACAAAATCACTTTTGTAATAATTTAACGTGAATGAAACAGTTTTATCACAATAAAACATTTTTATTCTCTGTTTCTCACACGCACCAACACTAGCAATAGGATAAAAGGAATTGATAAACAAACAGGCTAAAGTTAGACTGAACTTAAAAGCCATACAATGGTTAAGCAGAATAACAGCAGGGATGTAGGTCACTGTATCTATTGGTGTTCGGCACAGACACAAGAGGCTTTGCTCCTGAAGAGACCACATGTGCAACTGAGCTGGGATAACATGACAAGTAGAATACGATATATCACTTCTCGAGAGTGGAAAAATCATCTCACACCACTGACAGACCATAAGCAGTCAATAGATACATGTGCAATAAAACACAAACAATATTTTTTCAGTATCACACAATGCACAACTAATACACACCTCACACACAAACACACACTATTGTCTGGTAACATATCTGCAGTTTAAATAAAACAATGTTGTATGAGTTTTGTGAAAGGATAAATGGATGGGTGGATGGATGACGGATGCTTTATAAATCCTTTGAGAGCTATTATACAGCAGCAAGCACATCAACATGGACAATTTAACATTACAGGTAATACAGAAATTAGAGAAATAGACCAAGACAATTTAATATAAATAAGCTATATACAATTGAAGTCAGATTTAGCCCCCCTGTTTATTTGTTATCCCCAATTTCTGTTTAACAGAGAGCAGATTTTTTTCAACACATTTCTAAACATAAAATTAATAATAAATAAACATAAAACTAATAATTCTGACTTCAACTAAATGCACAATAAACAAACAGTCCTATACATTATTACACTAATGTGTTTTGCTCTTTTACTTTGGTTGTTTTGCATATAAAGAAATAAAAGATCTAGGGTTTTAATACATTGTTTGTTTGCCACTTGGGCTGCACAATATTATAAAAATCTAACATTGCGATATTTTGTTTTGCCACGATATATCTTGCAATATCAATAAAATTTCACCAGATGATTTGAACAGCTTTATTTGGAAATATTTAATTTAGATACAAGCATTGCAATATCGACGCTCAAACGATCTATTATTCATCCATATTTGCCACAGTCACAATAATCCATGATTTTTATTACTTCAAACAAAACAACACCAAACTATTTATAAGCAAACCGTGTGACATTTTTTTCCCTTCGTTTAACTGTGAACATGCTAATCAATATGCCAAAACAACACGATGACTACACTTTTACTATACTGAAACCATGGTTCGTTGTCGCAAGGGGTGTTGTTCATTGTATGCAGGCTGGCGTATTCTGACAATGTAAACAAAGACTTCCGACAAATAAGCTAAAGTGTTTATGGTGTTATATGTTGGGTAGTCTATGTAATAATATATTATAAATGAAAAACTAAGAACTACTGGTATTCTTGTTTTGCCTTAAAACTTCACATCTTATAAACAATAGACTGTTTAAAATGCTGCATGTTTGAAATGTCCAAAAACTCTTAAGTTGAGATCAACGTCAAATTTCGTTAAACAGCATCTTTCATATTGTACTGATTAAAACTGATTGCATGCAAAGCCACTTCTTTTTATTACAAATCTATAAGGCACTCACCAGCTGAAGGGCGCAGAGGAACATCAGCACGCATCTCCCCGAGCAGCAGCTCATCTTCACGATTCTCTCTGTGATGCGTAAAACTCAAAACAGTAAATAAAGCTGTGTCATCTTGAGGATCCTCGGTTTTACTCTCGATATTTAGTATGCATCCCTTGCGATAGTCTGTGTTTATAATAGTCACAGCTGTACAATGGGGTTAAAACAGAGTATGAAGCAGTAGGCGGGGTGTACTGAGGGTGAGATCGGGGGTACATGAAATGGGGTGGGTCTTCAAACAGATCTGCCACCCCCACCCGATGCGGCAGGTGGAGCACTACAGCGACTGGAGATATTCATTTCTCACTAGTCACTACCATTATTGAGACAGTGATATCTACATTTTTTTTTAAAGTATTAGGCTCTGAAAGTCTAACAGCTTAGTTAAAATAATTAAGTGTTAGTGCTAGTTTTATAGTGTTAAACTCAGTGGTGAAAAGTAACAAATTACAACTAAAACTAGATTCTTAAAGTTTGAGAACAAACTTTGAGGCTGGCTTGTGAAAGCCTGACGGTAATAGTTAATTTAGTTTAAACAGTTTTTAAAAGTATGAAAAGATAGATAGATAGATAGATAGATAGATAGATAGATAGATAGATAGATAGATAGATAGATAGATAGATTACCATGGTATTAGCATGATTCTAACGTGAATTAGCATGTTGTTAGCATGATTCTAGCGTGAATTACCATGTTGTTAGCATGTTTTTAGCATGAATTAGCATGTTGTTAGCATGATTCTAGCATAAATTAGCATGTTGCTAGCATAATTCTAGCATGAATTAGCATGTTACTAGCATGATTTTAGCATGAATTAGAATGTTGTTAGCATGATTTTAGCATGAATTAGCATGTTGTTAGCATGATTCTAGCATGAATTGGCATGTTACTAGCATGATTCTAGCATGAATTAGCATGTTACTAGCACGTTTCTAGCATGAATTAGCATGTTGTTAGCACGATTCTAGCATGAATTAGCATGTTGTTAGCACGATTCTAGCATGAATTAGCATGTGACTAGCACGATTCTAGCATGAATTAGCATGTTACTAGCATGATTCTAGCATGATATAGCATGTTGTTAGCACGATTCTAGCATGAATTAGTATGTTACTAGCATGATTCTAGCATGAATTAGCATGTTACTAGCATGATTCTAGCATGAATTAGCATGTTACAAGCATAATTTTAGCATTAATTAGCATGATTCTAGCATGAATTAGCATGTTGTTAGCATGATTCTAGCATGATTTAGCATGTTACTAGCATGATTCTAGCATGAATTAGCATGTTACTAGCATGATTCTAGCATGAATTAGCATGTAACTAGCATGATTCTAGCATAAATTAGCATGGTGTTAGCACGATTCTAGCATGAATTAGCATGTTACTAGCATGATTCTAGCATGAATTAGCATGTTACTAGCACGATTCTATCATGAATTAGCATGTTGTTAGCATGATTCTAGCATGAATTAGCATGTGAATAGCATGATTCTAGCATGAATTAGCATGTTGTTAGCATGATTCTAGCATGAATTAGCATGTGACTAGCATGATTCTAGCATGAATTAGCATGTGACTAGCATGATTCTAGCCTGAATTAGCATGTTGTTAGCATGATTCTAGTATAAATAGCATGTGACTAGCATGATTCTAGCATGAATTAGCATGTGACTAGCATGATTTTAGCATGAATTAGCATGTTACTAGCATGATTCTAGCATAAATTAGCATGTTTTTAGCATGATTCTAGCATGAATTAGCATGCTACTAGCATGATTCTAGCATAAATTAGCATGTTACTAGCATGATTCTAGCACAAATTAGCATGTTACTAGCATGATTCTAGCATGAATTAGCATGTTGTTAGCATGATTCTAGCATGAATTAGCATGTTACTAGCATGATTCTAGCATGAATTAGCATGTTGTTAGCATGATTCTAGCATGAATTAGCATGTTACTAGCATGATTCTAGCATGAATTAGCATGTTGTTAGCATGATTCTAACATCAATTAGCATGTTACTAGCATGATTCTAGCATGAATTAGCATGTGAATAGCATGATTCTAGCATGAATTAGCATGTTGTTAGCATGATTCTAGTATAAATTAGCATGTGACTAGCATGATTCTAGCATGAATTAGCATGTGACTAGCATGATTCTAGCCTGAATTAGCATGTTGTTAGCATGATTCTAGTATAAATTAGCATGTGACTAGCATGATTCTAGCATGAATTAGCATGTAACTAGCATGTTTCTAGCATGAATTAGCATATTGTTAGCATGATAGATAGATAGATAGATAGATAGATAGATAGATAGATAGATAGATAGATAGATAGATAGATAGATAGATAGATAGATAGAGACAGACAGACAGACAGACAGATAGATAGATAGATAGATAGATAGATAGATAGATAGATAGATAGATAGAAAGATGTAGATAGATAGATAGATAGATAGATAGATAGATAGATAGATAGATAGATAGATAGATAGATAGATAGATAGTGTGCGAGCATGAGTCAAACAAGCCAACCCCCGCCTCTCTACGATGTTCTGATGCTGAGATATAGCTGGTGCCATATCGTTGCTAGGTTAGTCTGTTTTGTTGCTATGGAGTTGATTGACAGCTTAGACTGATGATGTATACAAGCTTCTTGCCAGTATGAACAGTTAAAAACAATCCCCATGTCTCTATCACACTGCAGCATGACAATATCAGTCCGAACCTATTTAATGGCAGTCTATGGGACAGTTGCTAGGGTGCAGTATCTGGTTGTTAGGGTGTGGCTAGAAAGTTAAAAGGCCATCAGTGATTGGCTGCTGGCTAGACTGAGTTAAATGAGCTCAGCCATTAGTCTGTAGGACAGTCTGATGCAGAGTTATGAGCTCACAAAGTTTGATCCCATGTAAAGTCAATGAGAGTCTTTTGCAATGGAAGTCTATGGGACGGTTTCTAGGGTCCAAAAGTGGTTGCTAGGGCGTGGCCAGAAAGTTTAAAGGTGGTCAGTCATTGGCAGTTTGATAGTCTGAGTTAAATGAGCCCAGTTAGAAGTCTGTGTGACATTCTGATGCGGAGTTATGAGGTCACAAAGTTTGATCCAATGTTACGTCTATGGGATTTTTCCGACGGTCCCGGGACGTTTTTCGGAAAACCGAAAGTCGGATCAGTCGGAAAAGATATAGCAACTCGAGTCAGAATAGTTCGGAGGTCTGACCCGAGTTTGATGGTCATAGCTTGAAAGGCCTAGGACGAGATAGAGTTTAATTTTTAGTCTCAGAAGAAGAATAATAAAATTAACTAGATTCTTAAAGTTTGAGAACAAACTTTGAGGCTGGCTTGTGAAAGCCTGACAGTAATAGTTTATTTAAACAGTTTTAAAAAGTATGAAAAGATAGATAGATAGATAGATAGATAGATAGATAGATAGATAGATAGATAGATAGATAGATAGATAGATGTTGTTAGCATGATTCTAGCATGATTTAGCATGTTGTTAGCATGATTCTAGCATGATTTAGCATGTTACTAGCATGATTCTAGCATGAATTAGCATGTTACTAGCATGATTCTAGCATGAATTAGCACGTTGTTAGCATAATTCTAGCATGAATTAGCATGTTACTAGCATGATTCTAGTATGCATTAGCATGTTACTAGCACGATTCTAGCATGAATTAGCATGTTACTAGCATGATTCTAGCATGAGTTAGCATGTAACTTGCATGATTTTAACATGAATTAGCATGTTACTAGCATGATTTTAGCATGAATTAACACGATTCTAGCATGAATTAGCATGTTGTTAGCATGATTCTAGCATGAATTAGCATGTTACTAGCATGATTCTAGCATGAATTATCATGTTGTTAGCATGATTCTAGCATGAATTAGCATGTTACTAGCATGAATCTAGCATGAATTAGCATTTGACTAGCATGATTCTAGCATGAATTAGCATGTTGTTAGCATGATTCTAGCATGAATTAGCATGTTACTAGCATGATTCTAGCATGAATTAGCATGATTCTAACATGAATTAGCATGCTACTAGCATGATTCTAGCACGAATTAGCATGTTGTTAGCATGATTCTAACATGAATTAGCATGTTGCTAGCATGATTCTAGCATGAATTAGCATGTTGTTAGCATGATTCTAGCATGAATTAGCATGTGACTAGCATGATTCTAGCATGAATTAGCATGTTGTTAGCATGATTCTAGTATGAATTAGCATGTGACTGGCATGATTCTAGCATAAATTAGCATGTGACTAGCATGATTCTAGCATGAATTAGCATGTAACTAGCATGATTCTAGCATGAATTAGCATGTGACTAGCATGATTCTAGCATGAATTAGCATGTAACTAGCATGATTCTAGCATGAATTAGCATGTTGTTAGCATGATGGATAGATAGAGGTAGATAGATAGATAGATAGATAGATAGATAGATAGATAGATAGATAGATAGAGATAAATAGATAGATAGATAGATAGATAGATAGATAGATAGATAGATAGATAGATAGATAGATAGAGATAGATAGATAGATAGATAGATAGATAGATAGATAGATAGATAGATAGATAAATAGTTATAGATAGATAGATAGATAGATAGATAGATAGTTATAGATAGATAGATAGATAGATAGATAGATAGATAGATAGATAGATAGATAGATAGATAGATAGATAGATAGATAGATAGATAGATAGATGGTGTGTGAGCCTGAATCAAACAAGCCAACCCCCGCCTCTCTACGATGTTCTGATGCTGAGATATAGCTGCTGTTATATCGTTGCTAGGTTAGTCTGTTTTGTTGCTATGGAGTTGATTGACAGCTTAGACTGATGATGTATCAAAGCTTCTTGCCAGTATGAACAGTTAAAAACAACCCCCATGTCTCTATCACACTGCAGCATGACAATATCAGTCTGAACCTCATTAATGGCAGTCTATGGGACAGTTGCTAGGGTGCAGTATCTGGTTGTTAGGGTGTGGCTGGAAGGTTAAAAGGCCATCAGTGATTGGCTGCTGGCTAGACTGAGTTAAATGAGCTCAATCATTAGTCTGTAGGACAGTCTGAGGCAGAGTTATGAGCTCACAAAGTTTGATCCCATGTAAAGTCAATGAGAGTCTTTGCAATGGAATTC